CTTCAGCTAATATTCGAGCTCTTTCCTTTTCCTTCTTTTTCTCTTTTCGTCGTCTCGCTTCCTGACGCTCTCTCTCCTCTTTTAACTTTTGCGCATTTTGCTTCTCGTACATTCCCTGACGCATATATGCAGCATACTCATCTTCCGTCATTCGATGAAGTCCATCATGATGATTGCTGTATGCTTCACCCGTTTCCCATTGTTCAAAAAAATATTCGGTCGAGAATTGATCACCTTCATCGTACGCCATTTGTTCAAAGAGAAGACTATACCATTCTTCTTTTTCGACGGAGTATTCATATTCAATGTCGTTGTTTAGGAGATCTGAAGTGAGATTATTATTACCACCTCCTGTTCCTTTTTCATTGCTTCGTTGTGAACGAGTACGATAAAATTCTTCTTTTATTTTCTGTTTATGTTCTTTTTTACGTCGCTTATCTTTTTGTTCTTTATGTGAAGATTCCGAAGACAATTTATGTTTTCTGGAAGACATTTTACTGACGTGGGAAAAGTATCAAAAATTCTATGATCCAATTTATAATTATTGATGTCGATCTTCTCCCGAAATTCCCGAATTTGAATTTTGGCTTTTCGAAAAATGGCAACAGATTATTTCACCTCTGGAGACGCTTCCCAATTATCACTTGAGAAGCTTAGATCATTAACAAATATTGAAGAAATCCAAGAATGCCTAAGAATCTTGGACTTGGAAGAAAATCAAGTTGACGTTGACCTTGATATACTGCTCGAAAGGAGGGGACAGTTGGAGGCAGAGTTGGATAAATTGGAAGCTTTGAGGTATAATTATGAAAAGATATGGGACTACAAGGTCTTTACTCATCAATTTAATGGCTTTTACATAGGCCACAACTCGGAGCATTATCTTTGCAAGCCACTAATCTCTTGAGCATAATAAATGGTACTTCAAACGTAGCTGAAAGAATAAGTGCCCAAGTCCGACAGCTGGATTTAGAACAGTCTCGAGTCCAAGAAACCATTGAGGAGGTCGAAAATGTACAAGAATTAAAATTATGTATAAACGGAATGCATTCAGCTATGCAAATGAGGGATTACGAAGCAGCAGCGAATTATGTTCATCGTGCATCTGAGTTAGATCCACGAATTCTTAATGGTGAATTTGCGGAAAATGCAGTTCCGTCGTCCGAGTATCCCGATGTGCCCACAAAAACGCTTTCAGACGCGAAAGCTAGCCTTTTTTCCGTGTTTTCGAAAGAATTCGATGCTGCAGTGCAAAATCGCGATGAAAATAATATTAGTCGTTTTTTCCGCTTGTTTCCGCTTATTGGTAAGGAGAAAGAGGGACTTGATAAATATTCAAAATTTGTTTGCGGGATTATTGGTGGCAAGAGTCAAGCGAATATGGCTGCAAATGGCAAGTTTGATTTGATGTTATTGTTTTTATCATTGTATGCATTGGCAATATGCAATTTTTTGACATAGAAAAATATTGATTTTCAACATATTTAGCTATAAAGCCTAATTTCTATGCTGATGCTCTTACAAAACTTTTTGAAAATATTGCTGTAATAATTGATCAACATCATCCTGTCGTCGAAACACATTATGGTGCGGGAAAGATGATTAGAGTGCTTGAAAGATTGCAAGAAGAATGCGATAAACAAAGTCGAATTATTCTTAATACTTTCGGAGATGAAAAACAATTAATGCGTAAGGTCTTTAAATAACGTTTTTATTTCTTTGACCTCGCGCTGAAAAAATTTATCACAAATGATTATGAAGTTGGCTGACATTAAATTATGATAACCGAAAATAGGTTGCTGATATTCGTTCATACAACAATACCCCTAGACGTATGATCATCACTCCTCATAGAACGGGAGGGCAATCTAGAGATTCATTATCTGTTCAACCAAGGGATATCGAAAATATGCCAGACACCAGAGAAATTGATGCTGTATTAACCGAATTGGCTATGATTAGTCAACGAGCACATCTGTATTTTCGTTTTATGGAATCAAGAATAAAGGTTAATATTTATCTATATATCTAAAAATGTTCCATATTAACAAGAATTCAAAATAATATCCTGTTATTATTACAGTCAGAAGCAGAAGCCATGAAAATTAACGGGGTCGACGTTTCGCTTGAGAAATCTACTGACGACTACAACCCTAATAGTTTTCTGAGTAACAGTGGTCTAATGAAGCAAATCAAACATCTAATCAATGACTATTTCCTTGTTGAAGAATATTTTCTGAGGAGAGCACTTGAACAGGTAACACTTATTGTTAATTTCAACCTGTTCAAGTGAAAAAAATTGCATTTCATCATGTTTCATTGGTTTGGTTTAGGCAGTGGAAATTGATAAAATAGAAGAGGGTAACTCTACTTCGAGTTGCGTTGATGACGTATTTTATATACTGAAACGGAGTGCATTCAGAGCAGTTTCTACCTCTAATGTTGACTGCATCGTCACCATGGTCAATATAATAAATCAATGCTTGGAAACGGAATTCATTAAAGTTCATCAGAAAAGGCTTGTTAGTGCTTTTGCATCCAATGAATCAAAGGATGCCAAAATTTCTTATATGGTATTTTATCTTGCATCTTCGTCTCTTGTTTGCCGTTTATAAGTATTATTCCTTTTATAACAAGATTATATTATTTTGAATTCGTAGATTTTGCTAAATAACTTGGATGTAAGCTGTGATTATATTCAACGTCTCGCATCTGAGTTACAAGACGATGCTACTCGTACTTTGGCTCCATTACCGGAAGATCATGAAGATTGCCGTAAAGCACAAAAATCTTTGTCTTCGCTAAGTGACTCAGCTATTAACAAATTCAAACAGATCTTACAGGTAAATAAGAATATGTCATCATTTATTAAGTAGAAAAGTTTGCAAATTAAAATAAATTGTTTTTTTGCCCTCCCAAAAGAGTGGATTAGAGCAGCTTTTTAAACAGTTGGTGAAACCACGAATACGACCTATTTTGCAAGAAGCCTACAAAGATATAAAGTATGTGCTTAACGAGGATGAATATCATGATCAGGAGTCGAATGATAATTTTGCTAAACGATTTGTCAATGGATTTGATTCTTTGTTACACATATATAAGGTTTGTTATCTTTCGGATCATGTTTGTTGAGAAAGACCATACTTTTTATTCCTTTATGTACTTGGAATATTTATATAGATGACTTTGACCGAGAACAACTACAATCAAATAATGATTCATCTTTTAGACTGGTTATTATTTATGTGGGAAAAAACGATTCTCGCTACAAAGTTTAATCAGGTTGGTTCTTTTACTTGTATCTTAGCATATGATTTTTATCTACCTGGGAATCTTGTATCAAAAAACTTTTCTCAAATCTAATATGCAGCTAGGTGCATTGAGATTCGACAAAGATCTCCGCGCTGTTAGCAATTATTTTTCGTCTCGAATGCAATGGTCATTTCGAGATAAGTTCACGAGATTGAATCAGATCTCGACCTTACTTAATCTAGAGAGTGTAAGTATATTAATCCAACCATTGTATATAGATAGTATCTAGTGGACTGTTCCATCTAATGAATAATATTTTTTTTCTTTTACTTTAGCTCTCGGAAATATATGATTATTGGGGTTCCAGTACAAAATCCAGTAACCCGATTACATGGCGCCTTACTATCACAGAGGCTCGTAAAGTTTTGGGCTTAAGGTAATGATTAATTTGACATGGTTAACAATTTTGCGGTCCTTTTAATCGATCATCTTTTTTGTAGGATTGAATTTAAGACTGAAGATGTAGCGAATATCAAGTTGTGATTCTACGAGTGTTATTGAAGGCAGCCTACTTTATACCAATCAAAAGAAATATTTTATATACGCCTTGCTGCTTTCTTTCTCGCGCTCTTCTAAAAGTCAATGGCATACTAAACATTGAAAGTCAAATTCAAATATGATCAAAATTCTGTTGCAATTCTTTAAATGTTAGAGTGAAGTCAGCTGTAATATGAATCGACTGACAGACGGGAGCCAAGTCGAAAAAGTTCAATGAATTCACGGATTCAGGATTCGGATTGATGCCAATTCGGCAGAATTTGATATTATATCGGTATTTGACTCTTAAGAAAATACAGCGAAAATTATATGAAAAAAATTCTAGTGACTTTAATGCCGATAAATATCTTTGTTCTTATACTCATTTTAAGGTCAATAACGTGAAAAAAAAACCTAAAAAATATATTATTGTAGCCATTGTGGTGAAATTAAGTTATGAATATTTTTTTTCAGGGAATCCTGAGAAGATTGACTTAATAAAAACTTCAGCTATGTTCATTCAAAGCCCTTTAATCGCTATAACGAGCACTAAAAAATGTTCTTTATAGTCGTGAATTTTCCGGAAGTTCGTAATAACCTAATTTTTGATATAGAGATTTGACTTTATGCTTAATTCAATTGAATTGACGGTTTTGTGTTTAGAGAATGAATAACTAGTTCAGATTTTAAAAAGAATGAATATTAGATAGCTAAAATAGAACGCCAGTTCCAACCTCTATGCGGAACGAAACTTTAATGACAAGGTTAATGTTAAAAACACTATTATCTAACGCCAATGTTTCTTGTGTTTATTCAATGGCAATTACTTAGGTGTAATCCATAATATTAAATTTCATTTCTGGCTCCTCAACTCTTTCTCCTTCAATAATTCTTTCAATGGTAGTATAAATAGCAAATAATGTAATCCATAAATCTGCCCAGAAAAGTAAAAGTGGAGAGAGAGCGTCAGGAAGCGAGACGACGAAAAGAGAAAAAGAAGGAAAAGGAAAGAGCTCGAATATTAGCTGAAG